CCTGCATTGTCTTAGCGACGTAACTGAGGCATATTTTGTAAACCGGCATTGTCTTCGCGACGTAACTGTGGCATATTTTGTAAACCGGCATTGTCATGGCGACGTAACTGTGGCATATTTTGTAAACCTGCATTGTCTTGGCGACGTAACTGTGGCATATTTTGTAAATCCTGCATTGTCTTGGCGACGTAACTGTGGCATATTTTGTAAACCGCATTGTCTTGAAGACGTAACTGTGGACATATTTTGTAAACCGGATTGTCTTGGCGACGTAACTGTGGCATATTTTGTAAACCAGCATTGTCTTGGCGACGTAACTGTGGCATATTTTGTAAATCTGCATTGTCTTGGCGACGTAACTGTGGCATATTTTGTAAACCGACATTGTCTTGGCGACGTAACTGTGACATATTTTGTAAACCGGCATTGTCTTGGCGACGTAACTGTGGCATATTTTGTAAACCGGCATTGTCTTGGCGACGTAACTGTGGCATATTTTGTAAACCGGCATTGTCTTGGCGACGTAACTGTGGCATATTTTGTAAAGGGGCATTGTCTTGGTGACGTAACTGTGGCATATTTTGTAAAGGGGCATTGTCTTGGTGACGTAACTGTGGAATATTTTGTAAACCGGCATTGTTTTGGCGACGTAACTGTGGTATATTTCGACAATAAACTTACTTTTCTGAATCCAAACCACGACACCAACCACATCCGTTAGAGCCTCTAACGATCGAGTTATTGAATTTGAGTTTGTGCCCTCGTACAATTTACAAGACTTTGACCAAAACAGTGGTTTTGTATCGCACGCTGTTACACTAAACCTGCGTCTATATACAAATCATGTTCATTCTTTGGTTGACTTCTTGGTAGTGTATTTGTTTATTAAATTTATTGTTATAGTTCACCAATATGTTTTGCTAATTTTCAAATGTCAGCGCTTGGAATTAGTATTGTAATTAGCTTGTAATTCATTAACTAAGTATATGGAACACTTCAAAGGTTTAATTTTTTCTGCTAAGACAGACAATATAATGCACACATCAATCTATATTGAAAAAGCGCTGTTTCTGAACTATAAAAATTAAAACGTGCATCACGAGAATGCCACACAGTATATACGAAGGCATATTGCGAGTGACGCCTCGTGAACATCGTTCAAGGGCGATCGTTTGCTTCCACAAAATATAGAAAAACTTCCTAACGCAGGAATTAGTGTAAATACGTTTTGAAATACTGACAGATGATTGTGCATTTTTGTTATTGATGGATCACCTTCCGAAAGTACGACATGCTACACGTTGAATTAGAATGACGTATAACTTTATGCATTATTGATTATAAAACGCTCAGTCAATAGAGGGCGCGAGAGTTGTAGGAGAACTGTATAATACATACCAAACGCATACATCTCACACAAACATAATCTATGCTTCTCGCGAGGGTCATTTATTGCAGTAGCTACTGTGCTTCCATTGATGTATTCGTTTCCATTATCCGAGCACATAAAATATCCTATTTCACCAGCATCCAAGGATTCAATCATATCCCCACAGTTTGTATTTTCAGCCCACTGTTTTTCCACCCCAACAGTGGCTTGTAGTTTAACACTTTCTTCCGCTGAATATTGAAAGAATAGAATTTAAACATTCATAGGTAGGACCTCAATTTGTGAATGAATGGAATTGTGCGTATATAATTCATTTGCTTCAGCGTTAGTTTCTCGTTCATGAAATCCAACATAGTAAATGTTAGAGGAACCAAATATGCTTGTTTGATACGAAACCACATGGAAAATTACACGACAAAATATTGATAAGAAATACGCACAGACATGTGGTAAAGAACAAAAGGTACAGAAACGTCATTCTGGAGAAATCTCTAGCATAAGACTGAACGACGAAATAAAACGATTTTCTGCCAAAAATTTTTTTGATGATCTGGAAAACCACATCACTATCATAAACGACTACGACACATGAGTGGTATTGTAATATACATGGCACTGAGAAGAGAAACACAGTTGGGGTATACTCACGGAAATCATCATTGTTGACAATACTAACACTCATGAAGTTTTTGACTTCTGGCATATCTACTCTGATATAACTTTTCACCTCTGGTGTTTTTGTGTCAGTACAGTTACCTGGGTAAGGATTTCCATCAATAATTTTGCGTTTAGGAACCGGTGAGCTAAGTTTATGCAAGGTATGAATGTATGAACCTTCAACAAATTCCAAGTAGTCTTCATTCAAGTCTGTGAAATAAAAATTATTGTCATTTGTGTGGACTTTATTTCTGTATTCCTTCCATCTATTCCTTCCCCACTACAACAGTATTTTCACCGTCTCCTAGACATACGATATTTTTTTTATTTAACTATACAACTGTAGTATATAAAAGAACTATAAAGTAACAAGACGTTCTTACATGGATGGTCTAGGTACTGTCCGTATAATTCCATTCGTAATGCAACAGTGTTTTCCCAACATAGTGGATATATTTTGATGTATCGTATCATACGCAAAGGATACAGCAACTCATTTCTAACAATAGTAAATTCATCTGTATTTGCCTGGAATTCCTAGAGTACAAAACCAGAAGAAACTTGAACTTTCAAAAGTCATTCACACACCCACACATAATGTAGAGTTTTTAACTTGCCAAAATATAGTGAACACAAGAGGGTATTAGGGATATTTCCGACACATGGCAATCATGGCGTCGTCCATCATAGCAACCACATAAGTTCATAACCAAGATAAGTCATGCAGTGCATTATCGAATCTTATGTTTCCTGTATAGTATCCAGCCCGAAACATTTGCTGGTCAATTAATATAGCTCAATTTGAACATACATTAACTATATTAATTGATTGTATGTTTAAGCTGTTCTTTATATGTTAATGTTGGCATATGAGCTGAAACGTAATGATTGCTAGCTATTGTCAAGAATGTGAAATATTTTCTAAAACTGATAAATCGACTGATTTTAAATATTTAATATTTCTTAGTGAGATATAAATTTGTAAAAGGCTAGTCGATACAAAAATCAATAAAAAATAATTGATATTCGATATAATAGTTTTTACGTCAAAAGTCACATTCGCGAACAGAATGGCATATCTTGATACTTGGTAATAGCAATAGTTTATGTGTATTTCAAAACCTCCGGCCCATACACAAAATATAACACTAAATATGCCTGAAATAAATATTTACAAAAATTAAATTGTTATTAAAACACGGGTACGGGTTAACGTTTTGAATGACGCGCCTTGTGTTTGCCATTGTTTTCCCTATTGTTTAATCGTATTCAATTCTTTCCTGTGTACATTCAACTCTCAACAACTCTCCAATTACGCACGTTTTCTAAGGAAACTCTACAGTCACTTGCTACTATAAGAAAACTGTGCATATCGTGACCCTATAAAGTATTTGCGATGTATTTAATAGTTTCTGTCCAAATTTACATGAAAGTTTACATTTTGCAATCCTATATGGTTTACATGACTGATATTTGAAAAACATGAAACTTGAAAGAAGAATAACAATGTGCTTCTCTTAAACCAATACACCAATCATGTATATAGGACACACTACTTGGGCATACACTGTGCACTCAGTATCTCTAGTGAGAATAATGTACCAATGTTTTTATGATAAGTGAATGCAACGGCATATGTGTATCAAAAGTGTATTAACTTAAAAAGCAAACAAACAAACAAACATACCTTTCTAAATCCATGTTCTTTATATTCATTCAACGGGGATTGATCAACTCCGTAACTGAAATAGAAGCTTTTCACCCACGCAGTTCCCTGTCCCTGTGTAGCGATCATTCGTAATATGGTTCGGTATATTAGATTTATGCCTATAAATGAGCTACTTTCTGTTTGAGGCATCCATGCAGGCGGCGGATCATAGCTGCTGTCGGCATAATTAAGTCGTGCAGCATCTGCAGTGTATTTCTCACTTGTAGAGCTACTCTCAGATAACTGTCCACTGCGTATATTGCCTGACATCATGCCTAACGGATACACCTCTCCGTCTGTGGAATTTATATAAAGATTACGATAATGACAAATGCACTATTAAAATAGTGATTTAACGTTGTTCGGCTACGTTTACTTTTATTATGTTTGGATATTTAAAACAAATAACATAGTACAAGAAAATAAAACTTACGGCATATCTTTCTCCTCGCTGGTTCAGTACCAAATCTGTCGACGTCCACCCAATAAGTGAGACCGCCTTTATAGCCTGCCCTCAACCATTCAACACAAGAGGTTTTATCTACGAGACACACACATATTGTCAATGAAAACATGTAACATATCAGTAATTTCAACATCAGTATATAGCATATTTGAATAACAGAATGAGTTCGAATATAACACAACTAAACTATTTCTGCATTATATATTTTTACAAGAAACATTGATGGTAATTCGTTCTTCCACTATTTTGAACGTTTCAGTCTAGAACTGGACTGTTTTAATGCGATAAAAAATGACCATTACAAAGGAATACAATTCGTCAGTTGAGAGGTCTTCCACTTCGCTTTAAACGATGTTAGATAGACAATGGGATCGGAAGTATGATGTGCATATTAAAGATCGGCCAAATTAATAACACAACTTGTTAGTTCGTTCCATATAGTTTTATTTTATATCAGAAATTGTTATAGTATTCCCGGCACACTGTATAAAATACTATAAATAATACTGTAATAATGTGGGCTCACTTTTCGTATAGCTAGCATGTAAACAAAAGCAACAAAGAAGCTACCACGCCACGTGATATTAATCAGCCAATCACCGGATCGCTGCGAAAAATTTCTTTATACAATTCCTTAGCAAATAGGCTAAAGCAGGTTGAACCAGTACGGGAGAAAATGAGATTAAAAATGTCCCATATCGTGCTACTGTGAAAGGTAGCGTTTAAATGACACTTATCGTTCTGTGCGTCCTGTGTCATGTTTTTAATACATAGTTACACACAAGTAACTGCTAATTCATCAACACCGAAAGACTTAATTAGTTATGTGAATTCATGCAATACCTGTTCTATAACCGTACAATTCCAAGCGAATACCAACGTTTCCATTTATCTTAAATGGTAAGATTGCAATGCTTCTTGCAAACAGGGCGACGTCAAAATGAATCACAGATACTTCCTCATTGTTATTGGCAGTTACAGTAAAATTCTGTAAGAAACATTATACATTGCATGGTTGTGAATTGTGTGCATGATATATTCAGCTAAAATTGATTCAAAATAAGTAAATGATACAGCCGCACAATGCGGAGTTGTTTGAGCCAATTCAACAAACAAACAAACTAACTTAATTATGTCACATTCACGATATGCGCGATGGTTGAATGACATATTAAGACACAATAATTTGACGTCATTACAGGCAGTTCGCTGTTCAATTAAACATATCAAGTTTGATGGACTTAATAAATG